CTATGGTATTTTTGAAGCAATCTGATTGGCTTTAGCTTTGCGCTACACTGCCCCCTATGGGTTTGGAATGTTTAAAACCACACTGATGTGTTTCCTGAAACCGATCCTGTGAGTATTTTTTTTTAAATGACAGAGAAGATATTTGTTTTATAAAGGATTCAGCAAAGTTCATTTGCATTACACTTGGCTTTTTTTTTTTTACTTTAACGCTTTTTTTTTCTTTTTTTTTTTTACATATTTTGTAATTTCAGACATAAATGAATGTTAGGTACAAGCCATTCAGGTTTACGGTTCTCATGTAGCCTTAACATTGTGCTCACCAAAGATTGTGTTTTTAATGGTTTTTCGCTTAAAACTGTTTGGCTTTCCAGATACTTATCTTCCTGTTGTGCTATTAGCACAATAGATAGAGAACAGTTTTAAGAATGATTATTTCAGTCCTTAGATGTACTTGCTGGTACTTACTGTTGTGTATTCAAAGTAGTAGAGGCAGTTGTCAGTTAGGATGAACCATCTTCTCTTCCACGTTTTGACTCTGCCGCCTATCGGGAAGAAACAGACGGTATCTGAGTTCACAGCGAATTGACAGTGGAATTTTTTTGTTCACTTTAGAAGGTAACCTACAACAGACCCCAGCTTCATGTACCACATCTGGTCCTGATCCTCAGACTGGATCAGGGCATCTAGAACACTGCCTTCCCCCTCAGCTCCTAGCGGGAAGCGGGGGAGGTTTGTGAAGTCATTTGAACTTCGTGTTACCATCGAGAAAAAAAGCTCCAACATGACGGCAGCAGCATAATGCCACACACTACATCTGACGAGGCACTGCCAAAACATTTGTGAGTTTGACTGGAGCAGAAAACTGATGCTTCTGGGTTGTTTTAATGAAAGTCCAATTGATCATTATCTGACCAGAACGAGGTAAAATGTCTCTTAAACTAAAGTAACAGAATTATTGAATTTGATGTTAATTACACCATCTCCACTTTATATATGCAATGACTGCACAATCTGCATTTTACGGTTCATAATGTATTTGCTGATGTTGTAGTAAGTGCAACAAAAACAGCCGTTAATGATGTAATCGGATGTAATCTGAGGTCTCGGTTTAATTCCGCTGCAGTCGACCCACAAGCCTGTACACAGCTGCTAATCTCCCTCAGCCATGTGTTTGATGTCATCCTCACAAACGGACACAATGCGACGCACAGGCTCCTGGATTTACAGGCTTCGGGTGCAGATTTCACCAGACGCCTGAAAATAACCGAAAATGCTGAAATCATTTTCAGTTATGCTAAATAGTCGGTGTATTGAATAATAATTTGTAGTGTGTCTTTGTTTTTACTTTAGGTTGCATTTAATGTTTATAGAGACTGGAAAGTCCCTTCTGCCTTTAATTTGACATAGCACTGCCTTACTTTATATTACTTTTAAATTTGATCTTAATATCTGTTTTATATCCAGTCTTGCCTGATAATTCAATTATTCATTGTTCACTGTACATCAGACAGCAAATTTGGTTTTTATTAAATTACAATAACATAATTTCTAAATCTATTTGAATAGACTTCCAGGATGTGGCGCTATAGACAATGATGTATTTTAATTCTACTTTTTGTTTTGCCCAAAATAAACACTAATTACTAATATCTCACTCTACTGAGAGTGAGATATTAGAGTGAGATCCAATATCTCACACTAATCAAATCCTCTTCTTTGCGTTCCCTTGGCAACAAAAATGACGTTGAAAGGTAATAAAGCTAACTGGGGATGAGCCACCAAATGACCTCATATCGTTGGGTAGCTTTAGATTCTATGCCACTATTTCCCATGTTTTTTCGAGGCTGACATTCTTTCCAAACATATTTGTTTTAATCTAAACAAGGGAAAAATACAGCAGCCACTTTTCAGTCAGCTGACAGGCAGCAAACTTTAAACTCTAGAAGTGGTACAACACAACATTTCTGTGGTTCTGAAGTTATAAGTTTTGGTGACTGTAACTCTCATGCCTTGGTGTCAGTGAGGGCAACATTTCTAGTCCTACAACAGGACAAGATGTGGCCAACAAATGTTTGACGTACTGTCCAGGTTTGATGATGACTGGATCAGGCACGGTGACGGCAGAGAGTTATGAGAGCACAGACATGAGGCTCCGCAGCAGCACAGAGCTGACAGCCCAGGAGAGTGTCTTCATAAAGACACCAACAATAATGTTCCCTCATTACGCTCAGTTGGAGTGGCTGTGATGGAGAGCAGAGCTACAGAGGGGACGGCATTAATGAGGAAAAAATGTTTCTGGTGAATAGCAGCTGGGTCGGAGAGCAGGCAAAACAGGAAGAGAGCAGATATCATGACAAAGCAGCGAGAGGCTTGCAGGGCGGCAACTCAGGAAGGAGGATGAAGAGGGGCAAGGCTGTTATTTATGCTGAATGAGCAGCAGTACATTCCCACAGCACAAACTCAAGCATGGCTTAGGGTTCCAGCTGCACAGAGCCAGCATGATGAGCAGGGCCTGGGGTTACCTGCATGGCAAGGCTGTGGATAGGCTAACAGTACCTACAGGAAAACACTATGTGGTAGATACCCTGAAATGATTGGAATCCAGAAGGTCTCTGCTTTAAATTCTTGGCTAGGCTAATTCAAAGATTAGCCCAGCTGCTAATTTTTGACTAGCCTAAATACTGGCCTAAAATACAGTATCTCAGAAAATCTGATTATTCAAAGACCAATAAAAATTTATTTTAATACAGAAAAGATCTACTAAAAATTATGTCCATGTACGTACTGCATTCTTGGTAGGGGCTTCTGTATGATATACTGCAGGAGATCAGCTGGTGCTTATGCTAAGGTGTTACTAGCCACTTTTATGACATTTCCCTCATAAACCCAGAAAATCTTAAATAAGATAACTCTGGTTATCCCATTTTTTTTAGACTGTTTTATTTGACCACCTTTTTTCCTTCCACTAAATCTTCCAGAAGTATGCTTGGATGAAACAGTTTGAACAACCTATTTCCATAGCAGTCAGCATTTGCAGCTAGCTCTCCATGTGATGGACATAACCCATCACCTCACTGCCGTTCTGTCGCCTCACAGCTCTGATAATGACATCAAGTCTGCAATGTGTAGGCCATAACATAACATCTATTAAAAGTTCTTTTTTAATATTTCCCATGTAATAAGCACATTTTCTAGCACAAAAATGTTGAATTTGTAATAACAATGAGCCATAAGCATAGAAATTAACGGTCCATGAAATATAATAGCGTGTAACTAATCAAACACAAAATATATAATGAAATGCATTACGGTTTTCATTATAATCTATTGAGATTCACACTTGCATTCAAACTTAGGAGCTTACTGTTAACATCTACACAAAATTTTGTCCATTTACTTAAAGACCCTGAGCATTTTGTTTATTTTGAGGGAAAAAAAAAAAAAAAAAAAAAAAAAACAGCAGGAAAGAGAAGATGTGCTGAGCAAAATACAGTTCTTAGAAAAAATAATCAATCCTTTGCGTGGGCACTGCCTAAGATAAACCTTGTGCATCACCCAAACCCCTCCACAGCCACCAGAAGAATGCAGGCAATCCTCATGCAGATCAGTTACCTCCAGCCTGCCTGTGATGGACATAACCCATCACCCCACAGCAGTTCTGTCGCCTCACAGCTCTGATAAACAGGCCAGTTTTACGAGGTGCCCCGCACATCTGGGGCCCTGGTGTGCTCGGAGAGATATGGCATCTATTGCTAGTATACTGCACTCTGCAATGTGCTTGGGAGGATGAAGGAGGACGGAGTGTTACCTACCTCCTAATGCAAAAGATTTAGGAGGGAACAGCCGTCGCAGAACAGAATGAAAGAACACAATACAGAGATTTGAGAGAAAGGCTCAGAGGCAAAGGAGTTCTGAAGGATTCCAAGAAGAAGAGTGGGCACATGGCGGAGGGGATGGGGTTGGGTTTAACAAAGAGGCGAATGTGATGTTGAATTACCACAGACATGTCAGGCCCAGCAAACCAATGAAGAATATCTTAACAACCATGATGGAAGTGCAAAATTTTCACAGAAAAAAATTGGCAAAGAATCAAAAATCTTGAATATTTCTTCTAAATTGACTAAATCAGAGGTCATGAAGTAGAGAAACAGCGTTCTGTTTTCTGATAACAAGAGCTATCTACAGTAAAAAGCTGTGCTTCAACATAAATGTTGAGATTTGCATACAAAATGTGTCCATAGATACAACTTGCCTTGTAGCAGGTAATAAATCAAAACATCACAGATTAAGTTCCTGCTCAACACTATTCAAATCAGTAGATGGTTTAGGTTTAGCTACACACATTGCCCTTTGGGGCTTTATTTTGTTATATAAAATAATACAGTTGTGCCAAAGTTGACTCTATAAATATCCAGTTGAGACGGCTAAATCTGCACTGCTGAGTAAAGCAAAATGTTCAAAACTTGTCAAGGTCCCCGACCCTCCTGTTAGCTTCCTGTTAGCAATAACAGCTGACTGCAGATGGAAATGGTGACCTTCCGCTTGGAGGAAAGCTTCCTCCAAGCGGAAGCGACAGGAAACTAGTGTAAGTCCAAACAAACTGAAACATGCACTTCTTGACTAATGCTAAAGTTGTTTTACATGAGCAGAGATTGGCAGGATTGTAAAAATAGACCCCAAAGCCTAAAAAAAAAAAAAAGACAAATAATAGTACAACTCTAGAATGCATGTTATTACAGCTCATTTATTAAAGAGTTCCAAAAAGTGACTGAAATCCATAAATTGCATACATTTAATAAGAAGTAAGGTTGTCCTAAGCTAGCTTGAAGTTTAGCTTAGAAGAAAAACGGGCAAGGTAAATTTTTGTGCTAGCTTGATAAAAAATGACATATTTATTTGGGTAAAAGGATTGGATTCAAGTGAGCCTAAAGAATAGAGATGGTGACAAAATAAGCAAGCATATATTTATTGCAAACAATATAAAACATCTAAAATAAATTGATTTGAAAACAAAGTATTTGTAAATACTATATATTGAGATTCAGACTCTTTGTGACATTTATGTCTTAGTTTTGCTGATGACCTTCTGCTTTTGCTGCCACCTGACTTTAGCTTCTAATTTTGACACAAAGGTCACAGGTAGGATGAACCTTTAATAGCTTCACTCTCAAATCCTTTTATGAGAAAACGCTGTGTATTAGCCCTACCTCTAACCTGACCTATAACCCCAAACACGTCATAGATAGCAACGACAATAGCAGATTGAATGATCACTGTCTTGTAATTTATTAGTTCTATTATCCAACATAACACATGATCCCTCCACATAAAAGACTCCACTTTGTTTTTCACCATTCTTGTTTTCCTGTTGTGTTAACCATTTTATACACATGTCCCAGAATCAATGTTCAGCGCCACTTACAGGTCTGGGGGAGTAAAAACAGTGTTGGGTGTTTCCTTGTGGATGATAGATTAAACACCACACACACATATATATATATATATATATATATATATATATATATATATATATATATATATATATATATATATATATATATTCCCCCCAGAATCTATCACCCTCCAACATTGCCTTTGAAAATCAAACATCAATTCAAGCAACACGTATAAAGAACTGACTCAGCAGGAAACGGAAAACCACCTTTTTTT